GCATTCAACACCCCACTTGGTCACTTCGAGTATTTAGTGATGCCATTCGGACTCACCAACGCCCCCGCCGTCTTCCAGGCCCTGATCAAAGACGTGCTCCGGGACATGCTGAACCGGTTCGTGTTCGTCTACTTGGATGACATCCTCATTTTCTCCCGGGATGAGGAGGAGCACCGGCAGAACGTCCCTCTGGTTCTTCAGAGATTGTTAGAGAATCGCCTTTATGTGAAACCCGAGAAATGCGAGTTTCACACCTCGTCGGTTGGTTTCCTGGGTTATGTGATAGCCCAGGGACAGCTGCAGCCAGACCCGGCGAAGATCCAGGTGGTGAGGGAGTGGCCCACTCCTATCACCCGCAAGGCGTTGCAGCGTTTCCTCGGCTTTGCAAACTTCTACCGGAGATTCATACGGGACTACAGTAAGGTGGCTGCTCCTCTCTCTCGCCTCACATCCCCCAACACTCCCTTCCTCTGGTCTCCGGAGGCAGCCTCTGCGTTCTCTAGATTGAAAGCTCTGTTCACCTCCGCTCCTGTTTTAAAACATCGTCACCCGCCGCCGCTGCAATTCGTGGTGGAAGTGGACGCCTCCGACTCCGGTGCTGGAGCAATGCTGTTTCAACGGGACCCCAAGACGCAGAGGTTGCATCCCTGTGCGTTTTTTTCTTGCCGCCCGTCTCCTGCAGAGAGAAATTATGATGTGGGAAACTGAGAGTGGCTGGCTGTGGTGTGGGCCCTGCAGGAGTGGAGGCACTGGCTGGAGGGTTCACACCTTCCTTTCATCATCTGGACGGACCACAAGAACCTCGCCTATCTGCGCTCTGCTCGGCGCCTCAACTCCCGCCAAGCCCGCTGGGCACTTTTTCTGAGCAGATTCAACTTTAGAATGTCCTACAGACACAGATCCCGCAACGCCAAGCCTGACGCACTCTCCCGAATCTTCAGCTCTCCTTCAGACACCAGTGAACCGGACCTCACCCTCCCTCCCACCTGCTTTGTCGGCGCCACCACCTGGGAGATAGAGGCAGTTATCGAGGAGGCGCTGAAGACTCAACCAGACCCCAAGACTGGACCCCCGGACCGGAGGTTCGTTCCGGAATCCGCCCGTTCTCAGGTTTTTCAGTGGGGACATTCGTTGAAACTCACCTGCCATCCTGGGATCCAGAGAACGCTCCACTTCCTCCGCCAAAGTTTCTGGTGGCCGGGGATGGCCCGGGACGTCCAGGATTTTGTGGTGGCCTGCTCAGTCTGTGCCCAGGGCAAAGCCTCTCATCTGCCTCCTGCTGGTCTGTTGCGCCCTCTACCCATACCATCCCGTCCCTGGTCTCACATAGCTCTGGATTTCGTCACTGGACTGCCGCCATCTGAAGGTAACACAGTTATCCTTACCATCATTGACAGATTTTCTAAGTGTGTGCATTACATGCTGTTACCCAAGCTTCCCTCAGCTCGTGAGACCTCTGATCTCCTGATTACCCATGTCTTCAGACTTCATGGGATACCCAGTGACATTGTGTCGGACCGAGGTCCACAGTTTTCCTCCCAGGTTTGGAGGGATTTCTGTAAGTCCCTGGGCGCAACAGCTAGCTTGTCCTCTGGCTACCACCCTCAGACCAACGGCCAGACAGAGCGGGCCAACCAAAGTTTGGAGACTGCGCTGCGCTGTGTTGCGGCTCACCATCCGGTCACCTGGTGCTCCCACCTCCCATGGATCGAGCACGCGCACAACTCCCTCACCAGCGTGGCCACAGGTATGTCGCCCTTCATGTGTTGCTATGGTTTTCAACCCCCATTATTCCCCGACCAGGAGCTAGCAGTGGCCACCCCGTCGGTGAGGGAGCACGTCAGGCGCCTGCGAGAGGTGTGGAGGACCGCCAGAGCCGCACTCACCCGCAATGCAGCCCGGACTAAGCGGATAGCGGACGAACACCGGTCCCCAGCCCCTGAGTACCGTCCCGGTCAGATGGTGTGGCTCTCTTCCCGCGACCTCCCATTACAGACTGAGTCACGTAAGCTGTCACCCCGTTTCATTGGTCCCTTCCCTGTCGTCAAAGTCATTAACCCCTCTGCTGTCAGACTCCAGTTACCGGACTCTCTCAAGATCCACCCTACCTTCCATGTGTCCCTCCTGAAACCTGTCGCTTCCTGTGACCTGAGCCCTCCGGCCGTCGCCCCTCCACCCCCCCGGATCATTGACGACCACCCCGCCTTCTCTGTGTCCCGGATTCTGGATGTGCGGCCCCGAGGACGGGGTTTCCAGTACTTGGTCGATTGGGAGGGGTATGGCCCTGAGGAGCGCTCATGGATCTCCCGGAGGCTCATTCTGGACGCATCCCTGCTAAGAGACTTTTATGCTGCTAACCCGGACAAGCCTGGTAGGACGCCAGGAGGCGTCCGTTGAGAGGGGGGTACTGTGGTGAGCATGGATTCTTGGCTTTTATTTTATGAACATTTCCGGAGTCTACTTCCTGTGTGGGTTGTGTGCTGCTGTGTTTACTTGTCTCCAGAGGCTTCTCCCCTCCCCTGCCCTGCACTGAGGCTGAGTGTGCACACCTGAGAGTCATCTGCAATCAACGGGCTTTAAGACTGCCACCGACTCTAGCCCCAGTGCCAGAGTATTTGCGACTGCACGCAGTGGTATCTCGGCTCCTCTATTCCTCCAGTGATTTGAGTAATCTTGCAAGTTTGATTGTGTTTTTTGCTCGTCGAGTGTTTAACCCTCGCTCTCCTACCTTTTTTCCAGTGTCTCCCTCCGTGCCTCACAGCAGCCCACAGCCCAGCACTCTCACCTGGTTATCCCACTCTGCACCTGGACTCCGGATCTCCTTTGTTCTCTGCATTATTCTGGCACAATAAAACTGTTAAACCTTTTCCCTCAGTCTGTCTGCATTTTGGGTCCATAACCTCGCTGCCACCACATAAACATCATTTATTTCCATTGATTTTATTCATTGATATTCCATAATGGGGGCTTCTCTGAATATTTAATGATTACATTCAGTCTTTTTTTCAGGGATGGAAACACTCACAGATTAACAGGAACAACAGATCTGAGGCTGATCTAACTTATTTAAAGTTTATTTTAAAGATTTACAGTTTGAATCAGTAACTCTGTGACCTGTTTTAATGAGCTGACTTTAGTTTGGTCATCACTCAGTGCTGTGATGACGTCTGAATCTTCACCTGTTACAGGATGAATCACAGCTGATGAATAAACCCTGACTTTGATCTGTCTGACTGTATTTCTCTGTGAGGTCACAGTATAAATGTCTTCGTGTCAAGAGCACAGCAGCAGAACAGGGACAGAGAGAAATGACATGTTCAAACAGTGTGATTCAGCTGACATTAGCTAACGTTAGCATGCTAACACTAGCTAACGATCAGTAAACACAGTCACAGAGCTGAAGCTGATGTGAACTGCAGGTCACAAACCAAAGTTCTGCTCACTGCCTGATTCAGACTGTTCTCACTAATGTTTCATATGTTTTCCTATGAAAATCAATTCACCCAAATTCATACATATGTCATGTATGTTGAAAGGCTGTGATCATGTGACCAATGAGCTGACGGCAGTAAACAGGAAGCAGTCCTGAGTGCCTGTAAGGAGGCAGGTTGGGATGGTGGATGGGACTTTCCCCTGGAGTCACGTGATCAGATCTGTGTGAGTCATGTTAAGGTTCGTCCTCACCATGTTTCTGTTCCTAAACCTAACCTCTGTAACTTTATGATAATTGTAACTGTAACTGCATGTTAAGGACGTGACATCATTCATGGGGCCCTTTATGTAGGATATCATACAAACTGTTCAAACTGAGAATATGTTGATTTACTGGCATGTTGTATGATTAAAAACTGTAAAGTGTTTTGATTCTTCGTGTGCTGACTGTGACGATGATCAGTAGGCCTACAGTAAATGATATCATATAGTCAGTAAAGTGAAGTCAGATTCAGATCTTTTATTTAAGGGTCACACACCAAAATATGCTCCGCCCACATGGGCTGCTGTGACACTACAACATATTGTAAACAAGAGTGATGACATCATGATACAAACTGTATGATGTGTACATTCATCAGACATGGAAACAGATCAGGGAGAGGAGCTTCTGACTGAGACACTTAACAAATGAACTGTTTCATTTCATTCATCCCACAGCTGTGCTCAGGTTTTATATCTGAACTGTGTTACAGACAGCTCCTGAAGTCGTCTCTGCAGAGTCTGATGAGGCTTTAAATCCTGATTCAAAGGTCAGAAGGTCGTTTGGAGTCAATCCTGATTATTTACAGTGCTCAGTACAGAACAGATAAGATTTAAACTTTGTCTGACTGTGTTCTTCCTGAAATCATCACCTGAGTTTTATCTTTAATCTCCATGTACGACACCAATGACTGACAGTGTTCAACATCCTCTGAGGATCATTTTCAGACTCTGTGAGGACGATGGTGTCGTCTGCGTATAGAAAAATATCAACTGTAAAAACTTTTAATCTGACACAAAACTCTGCTTCTGTTCTGAATCATTTACATTATTAATATGAATTATGAATGAATATTATATTATGATTATTTCATATTTCTTTGATGAGTGTTTCTCTTGTATGGACCTTGAGTCTGCATTAAAGTATATTTATAAAGATGGAAAATAGTACTGAAGAGAGCACATCTCCGTTTCACACCACATGGGGTTGAAAAGTCGTAGAATAGTGTAGCACAGTATAGTAAAGTGTAGTATTTATTGTCTGCAGTCAGTGTGTGGTGTAATGCAGACAGAGTAAACATGAGAGCACCACACATTAGGACCTGCTGGGACGTTCTGGTTGAAAGAATCTTCATCGTCTTGTTGAGATCAAGACATCTCAACAGTCGTATGGTGACACAGGAGACGTGTTAGAACATGAAAATACCTAATCAAATTATGATTTTAGTTAGTACTTGAAACTGATCCGTTTTTTTTGTTTTTGTTTTTTTTTTTTGGCCCTGATGACACACGTAAAAAAAAAAACCTCACCAGGTTCCCTGGAGTCTCAGAGCAAACAGTAGCCTCAGGTCGATAGAGGTGACCTTCAGAGGACAGGGTATCTGTCCACAGCAGAGACTCTCAGACCTACAGAGACACTGAGGAACCAGACCAGAACCCAAACCTGATCCCAGGTACAGAGGCTCGGTGAACGTGGTGTTGAAGGTGTGGAGGTGGATCAGAGAGTCTGAGGAGACGCTGTAGAAGGACAGAGTGCCACCGGGACAGTCCACATACACTGCCACTCTGTTAGAGCCAGAGGAGGCGAAGGAGGAGGCAAAGGAGGGGGTGGAGAAGACGAAGGCAGAGGAGTAGTTGGAGGAGGAGGAGATGGATGTTTCTCTGTTGTTGTGATAGGCGGAGAAACCATCACTGTAAGAGCAGAAGAGACACCAGGACTGATCGTTTCATCCAAACATGGAACCTTTCCTGTTTCCTTTCCTGCTGACTCCTCGGTAACTCACTGAGACATAAATGTCTCCCGTCCACTCCACCTCCCAGTAACAGCGACCAGTCAGACCAGTCCGGCACAACAGCTGAGGAACCAGGTCAAACCTGCCTGGATGATCCAGGTACGACTGGTCCTGTCTGACGTGGGTCACCGTCCTCTCATCTTCAGACAGTTGGAGTCTACTGTGTACTGTGTTTGTGTCCACTTCCAGTTCACAGATGTCTGAGGGAGATAGAGACAGGAAACAGCTGCAGGTCACCATCTGTTGACTCATCAACGACTTCACTGAAAGTTACTGAGAGAAAATCAAACTGTGAACGATGTTCAACAAACTTTTAATTCATCAATCAAGTCAGAACATTAACAGTTACTGAAACATCAGAGTCATATTTCTGCTTTTTGTCCTTGGGGGTGACGGACGATAAACACACTCACACTTCCTCACACCAGGTCTCAGTCTCTGCTGTCCACCATGATCCACCCTGCAGGAAGAGACAATGTCAGAGTCGACTCGACACATCAGCACTCATATCAACAATGAAACAGGAAGTTCATCAGTCAGAGTCACAGAGAGACAGTTAGACAGCTGCAGGTGTCTGTCTCTACCTGAGAGTGTCCAGTCTCCAGTGAGGATCCTCCAGTCCAGCAGTCAGCAGCTTCACTCCAGCGTCTCCTGGATGGTTGAAGCTCAGGTCCAATTCTCTCAGATGGGAGGGGTTCAACTTCAGAGCCAAGGCCAGAGACATACAGCCGTCCTCTGAGATCAGACAGCCTGACAGTCTGAACACACACACACACACACACACACTTTCCATCAATGTGAATTTGGCTAAAGGGCCTCAATAAGCAGCACAGTACGATGAGATCCAAAGAAATCCCCAGGGAGATGAGAAAGTGACTGAAATATATCAGTTTGGAGGTGTAACATCTCTAAAGCTCTGTGACTCCAGCCAGCCGCAGTGAGAACCATGGGCTCGACATGGAGAAAACCTGGAACAGTGGTGGATATTCCCAGGAGAGGCCAGAGTACCACAATTCCTCCAAGGTCACATTCGTGCCTCGTCCAGGAAATCCCAAAGAACCCAGAGGAACAGTGAAGGAACCTCAAACCTCGCTGGCCTCAGTTAAAGTCAGCGTTCATGATTCCACCATCACAAAGAGACACAACACATTCTCATTCCGACCTTGTGACATGCCACGACACGGCACTGTCTCTGTGTTTTCAGCTTCACGCTCTCTACTGACCAATCAGACTGCAGGGTTTCTAGCTCCACCTTTTAGTAGCCTATCAGATCTGTGTGCTAAGTACCCCAACAGAGGGGGGACCAGACATGGGGACGCTAAGGAACGGTTCTGTTGGTACCATCCACAACTTTTCACTGTGGGAACAGAAAGAATGAACTGAACTGAAATGAACTGAACTGAACTGAACCGGACTGCTCGGTGGAAATGATGCTGATGAAAGCTTCATAAGTAAACTTCAAACAGTAGTCAAACCCTGACCTGAGAGTTTCTAGTTGACAGTTCGGACTCTTGAGTCCAACAGACAGCAGCTTCACTCCTGAATCCTTCAGGTCATTGTTACTCAGGTCCAGGTGTCTCAGACTGGAGGACTGGGAGCTGAGAACTGAGGACAGAGCTTCACAGCTGGTCTCCGACAGGTTACAGCCACTCAGCCTGAAGATGAATCAGAAAAACACACGACGTCAATTACAAATCAACAGTTTTTAGATAAACTACATCTCAGCTGGACGGATACATATGCATGTACAGAGCTGTGTTGGAGGCTTTGAGCACTGGCAGCAGCCTCAGAAGAGCCTCCTCTGAAGCAGAGTATTTCTTCAGGTCAAACACGTCCAGATCATATTCTGATGACAGTAAGATGAAGAACAGAGCTGACCACTGAGAAGGAGACAGATTATCTGTAGAGAGACGTCCTGAACTCAGGTACTGTTGGATCTCCTCCACCAGAGAGCGATCATTCAGTTCATTCAGACAGTGGAACAGGTTGATGGTTCTCTCAGCAGACAGATTCTCACTGATCTTCTTCTTGATGTACTGGACCGTTTTAAGATTGATCCATGAGCTACTTCCTGTCCATGTCAGCAGGCCTTGTAGGAGAGTCTGACTGGTCTGTGAGCCACTTCCTGGCTGTGTCAGCAGGCCTCGTAGGTGTTTGTGATTGGTCTCCAGAGACAGACCCAGGAGGAAGCAGAGGAACAAGTCCAGGTGGCCGTTAGGACTCTGTAAGGCCTTGTCCACTGCACTCTGGTAGAAACGTGTTGATCTTCCACTGAACATTTCAGACCACCAGGAGGTTTGTTGTTTTTCCATCAGATTGACTCCAGAGTTGATGAAGGTCAGATGGACATGAAGAGCAGCCAGAAACTCCTGAACACTCAGATGGACGAAGCAGAACACCTTGTCCTGGTACAGTCCTCTCTCCTCTTTAAAGATCTGTGTGAACACTCCTGAGTACACTGAGGCTGCTCTGATATCGATGCCACACTCTGTCAGGTCTGATTCATAGAAGATCAGGTTGCCTTTCTGCAGCTGATCAAAAGCCAGTTTTCCCAGAGACTCAATCATCTTCCTGCTCTCTGGACTCCAGTGATGATCTGTCTCAGCTCCTCCATCATA